AAGCGCCAGTATCCACATAAATCACATTAATACTGGCTTAAGCGCCAGTATCCACATAAATCACATTAATACTGGCTTAAGCGCCAGTATCCACATAAATCACATTAATACTGGCTTAAGCGCCAGTATCCACATAAATCACATTAATACTGGCGCTTTATGAAAGAAATCTTAATAAAAGCTTATTATATCTTGACACGCGCACAAAATCTTCTATTGGTTAAAGCAACCATACATATAGAGACTTTTGTACATTTTTTCTCTTAGCAGCTAGTTTTTAATCAATACTGACGCTCTCATCAACTTTTACGCCTACAACGTACTCTGATCGGATAGCAAAAACACAAAGCTACAAACAAATCGTTGTTGTTTCCGTTCGTTCCAAAGAGGCAGACTCAATGACGTAGACAGTTTCTCCTTGGAGCAGCGTAGCACTGAATGTTATGTCCAAATGTGGCCATTAACAAAATTTGGAGGCAGTGCAGTGAAGAAAATAGATTTAAGTAAGAAGTATAACACAGCTAATCTGATATTCGACTAGTCAGCGAGTGTTCAACGAAAATATTGAAAAGGAAACAAAAGTTTGCCATGCAGATATAGTATAAATTCAAATTTTAAGACTTTAAAAACAGAAATTATTGTCTATATCTGTCTGCACGCGAGAATCCTGACATTGTTCTTTATTACTGTCGCTAGCTATGAGTGCTTGTCATTCATTTCTCTCGTGTGTATTTTTTTTTAATTTTAAAAATTGCATGATTTCTGTACTATCTGAAAAAAATCACCCTTTTTCTACACGATAATTATCTTCATTTTAACCAGCGTTTTGTTTTTCTTCTCTATTGCAATCAACTAATCTTTTGTTTCTAACGTTTCAATTGAACATTCGGCATTGTTATTCTGCAAAGAAACCATAATGTTTGGTTTACTGTTCTTTTCTCATAGAAGTTAAATAAAAATTCCATTTGAATTATATGAAGTAATCTTGGGTAATTATGATCAGCCGACACCTGCTCGCTGGAAATAGATTAGTACTAGTTAACGCTGATGATTTTAAGATAATTTTTACATCGATCGATGGGTAAGACTCAGCGCAACCTACCTGTGAAATATCCCTTTTTTTGGTAGGAAATAGCTACAGAGCTTCAAGAATACTGGGAAAATTTGTTACGCTGATCATAATTACAACGGTCTACTCTAATAATAGCGCGATTTTCATTTTACTTATATTTAATAGTATAAAATGCTTTCATAGTTTATAATTTTCTTCTATTTTTATTCAATCTATGTCAAAACATAAACGTGTACATTATTCTAAAACTGCTTCACGTTTATCTGATTGTACTGAACAACGTCTAAATAAAAATATTCTACAATTATTTAGCCCTAATTGCATTGCAGGGCGTTGTATTAATAATGAATCAAATCGATCATGTAAAGCAATTTATTTAATATAATTAAAATCAAAGACTGAGTTGAAATACTATCAACCTGTAAATAAAGATCTAGATAATGGAAAATTTTTATGTGGCGTTCAAAACGCCATTATGAATGTGCTGGATACACAGCAACCTAACAAATTACAAAATCAAATGTGTATATATTTGATTGTTAATTACTCAACATAATCATCGTCAATCATTGGTGTAGTGTTGTGCAAATAGATTTTTTTCGGTTGCTACGAGAAAGGAAATAAAAATTTCATATTTTGTAATTTTTTGTCACAATAATGATGTTTTATTTCGCAATTGGAACTTTCTAACATTCTTGCAATATAAATAAATCTATTTTGTCTATGTAGTTGTATTATTATCCGATACTGTCTCTACAAACTCTGCAGCACAAAATTATATAAATCTATTGAGAGAGAGTCAATTGAAACAGCCTTGTGCATTTAAAGCAAAATAGAGAGCAAATATTTTTATATGCTAGTCTATCTATTATTATTGAAACGAAAACAAGAAAAAAAACGTCTGTTCTGTCTAATGGAACAATGTGTATATATATATACTTCGGATGTTACATTCATTCGATGTAAAAACTAGTCGTAATATGTTGTCTACTGACTTAACTGAAGAAAATGTAAGATAGAAAAGAAAGAAAAGGCAAAAGGCTCATAAACCACTCATATAGGCAAACACTCGTATAGTATAATATAATTACTAACAGTTGTTGCCAACAAGAAAAATATATTTTTTTAGATTTGTCTCCGTCACTTTCGTTTCTGTTTACTAGAACTGACGAGAAATTTTTTTCTCGTCCGCTTGACTTTTCTCCTTGATAGAAGAGAAAGACGCAATTCATCTGTATTTCGTATTTTTTTCTTTTATTTGCAAGAGAGTGTCGAAACATCGTGTTTTTTTTTTGTAGCGGAACAATCGTATATTTTGATGTAAAAAAAAGCTACCTAATAGTAAGAAACATACGAACAATTTTATACTAGTCATATTTTTTATATCAAAAAAAGGATGAATACAAAGTTTTCTAATACTACAAGAAGTGATTTTCTGCGTTTATTTTAACAAGTAAGTTACAATCATCTACGTACACGAATTTTTCACTTTTTACACAAGGTTTTAGTGCAAATAAATTACTGTGCGTGAGCGCCATTTTGTTGGTTATTACTTTTTCAAAAAAAAGAAAAACCAGCGAAAATTGAGAAATATGGTGCAGTCAAAAGAAGGCCGTTGAAATGATAAAGATAATATTCATAGTAATTTCAGCTGTTTTTTTTTCTCTTTCAAGAAGTAGGAGAAAGCATGTTTTCGTTGAATACTAATTCGATTCGCCATCAAATTTGGACAAGAGGTCGGAATAAATTATTAGGAGAAAAGAGATATTAAGTTAAGAAAGAGAATGTTTTTTCTTAAGAAGCAGCGAGGCGTACACGTCGTCACACCCCTCTTTTCTCTACCGTACTGTTAATTCCCTATCGCATACTGAAGACTCCACTCTGTGAGCGTTGAATGAGAACACTCGTAATTTGTTCTTACACTGTAAAGAGTAAGCTGACCAATCTTTTGAAATCGATTTTTATTCATGGTTCTTAATCTCTTAAATATAAAAAACTTGAGTCTCTATCTAGCTTACTTTTGTACTAAAAAGATAATTACCCGTACAGAGAGTCTAATGATCAAAATCCTATATCAGAACGGAAATGAACAGAACGGAAGTATATGACCCGCAGTAAAATGAACGATTTTAATTTAGTTATAGAGTGTTGAACATCGGTTAAAGCGATTCTAAGCATAAATTTCGTCAAGTAAGAGTAAAACTGTTTCGAAATTCTTCGTATGTCCTAATGGAATGCGGTGAGTTGGTAACTAGGTCTGATATAAAAGAGTGATCATTTATTTACTTTCTTATTGGAACCGCGTTTTCTTGTCGTATTCAACAAAACATTCATTTGTTTTGCTTAGAAACGAACTATTTATAAAACGGGCGCGTTCGTACTTTGTGAAATGATCTAATGTTTATCTAACACTTATCTTTAATCAGTGCAAATATTTAACATTTTCATTACTTAATAAGAAAACAAAAGACCGCGTTGTCGCATTATCGATGAGGAGGGTACGTGTATAGCATATAATTTCATTTACATTGCTTATCATCAAATGTCAGTAGTTGTGAATCAACATGTAAGTATAGATTATTTAGAGTAGATAAATGTACGGGAACTGAGTTAAGATCAACTCAACATGATATTTATTCTACTTTTCTTTTATACACCAGTCGCTTACAATAATGGGAGATTGCGATATCTGTTTTGTAAATACCCAGAGAGTTTGTGAGCTATACTGTAAACTGATCACATCTAGAGCGATAGATGCAACTAAGCAGACAAGAAAGTGAACATATAATGTGGACTTCTATGTGCAAAACGCATCTTGTCTATAAAATATCATTTGACGAATGACGAATGAGATCAGCAACGCATCTAATTGATAGAAGAGGTAACCATTTAAAGTAAAAAGTATTTGAAACACTAATTTCGTCAACGATGTTCCAGTGTCGACAATGTTGTTGAAGGATTCTACAGAGTCACAAACGCCTAACTCCTTTTCATTGGACTCTAGAAGCTTTTTACTTTCTTCGAATCTCGTTTCTAACCATTGAAATACTTCATAAGAAGCAATTTCTCTCTCTATCTTACTATTATACTTGCACTATTTTTTTATTATTGTTTTGTGTCAGTTACGTTCGTTATTTGTTCTATTGTTTCTTGTAGCAGTAAAGAACAAGTTTTATTGACATTCTTTGACATTTTTACGTTTCTTATAAAACTAAGGATATTTCATACAATTGAAAAACATTTTTGTAAAATCATTTTACATAAAAAGTGAGCTTTCGATATTTCACAGTATCATCATCAGGCTAACATGACTGCCTGAAGAACAGGTTTTGAATGACTAATTTAAATAATATGTGTCTCAAGCCGTCCTTTTTTACTCTGATATGAATCACTCTATATGCTATGCAATAACTAGCTATGTGTCATTAATGTATTCTATTCTCAAGTAATCTTTCCTTATCGATTTAACTAACCACTGTTTACTTTTCTTATAGATTTACTGTAATTACAGTACTGATACAAAACTAATGGCTCCTATTGATCCAAAATCTATCGAAGGTTATTACCACTATGTTAGGCACAAATGGTGAAATAAAAAATATAAAATTGTACCATTATTTCTAATGGAGGTTGTTATTATTTTATCAGCAGTCTTTATTTCTAACAGAAATATTTGAAATGTTCAGTTCGATGGAAAAAACCCAAAAAAACTAGTCATTAAAGCAGTTTATTTGTAAATTTTGAATAGAATGGTTTGTTTAGACACAAATGGCACGTAAGTCGGATTTTAGAATTTTTCTCCATATTTTTGTATCTATTGATTGATATTCTGAATGAGTTTCGAAATATCAATTCTTTAGACTTTCGGTCAAATGTATGTAATAAAAAAATTCATTTTATATTCGTGCTATATTTAGATTTTTGGAGTATGGTGGATGCGATGTATTATATAAATGGTGATTGAAAATTACTTAAAATTGATCGAGAGTTTCTTCAAATATTATATATGATATTATGTTCCGTACGATCGGGAATTGCTACAAAAAAAAGTCAATTATCATATACGATATACAATCTCGCTTCAAATTTTGAGTATAATGGTCAGTGTTTAGAGTGCAGAAATTGTTTTTAGATTCTTTTGTGAGGATTAGACAAACGATACATCTTACTTTCTTATATTAGCACTAGTGATATTATCTATCATTCGTCAAGCGGTATTTCAATGCGGATCATCCTCGTTCTGTTTATGTTAGAGAATTTTCATCTAGTACTAGACGTAGTTTATATACAAGCACAGTTGTTACAACACTCCTCAGAGGCTTCAGTTTTCTATCCAAATCAAGTTTTATTAGTTTTTGGTAATTGAATGAGTTCAGGTGTTAGATGAAATAAAATATCCACGAAAAGTTTCAAACTCTTGCATAAAATTGTCTTCTAAAGTGTTTTCTCATTACTGAGCCATCTTATTGGATTATCAAGTGATTTCGTAAAATAAATGGCATAATCTGATTGGTATTGGGAAATTTTGCTGAATCAATGAATCATTCAAAGATCAACATCGCTCTTAAATAATCAATAACGAAATCATGTCGTCACCAGTCCATTTAATATTAAGAGACATGTTTTATTCATACATTAATTTCATGGATTACCCTTTATTGAGTGTTCAAAAACAGAAGTTATACAAAATCCAGGGCATACTAAAAATTGATTTCCATTAGTCGTCTTGTATCGTCTTGTACTACAAGTCGTCTTTCAATAATTTTTAATCGACGCTACAATTTTATTAAATCATCTGATTGTCACCATATGAAAAAGAATTTTTTAGCATTTGCTCTTGTTTAGCGGCCAATCGAGACGAACAAAACAAATCGAATATCTAAAGTAGATTAATTTTTTTCGAATGAATATTCACGAAAATCGTGGCGAAGGATTTCATATATGCTATTATTTGCTTTGCCTATATAAATACTCTATTCTTAAACTGTCAACATATTGTTTTTAGGAATAAAATACAGATTTTTTTTATCTAGTTGTTACTTGTCTTTGAATTTCTTTTTGGGAGTATATAGAGAACGGAATGATGGTGTGTTCTGGTATTCATTTACTAGACATGAAGGCATTCAAACTGGTGACATTCTCCGAAACCGAGAACGATCCGGTTTCTAGAGAAGAGTACGAATACTTTTTTGATCCACATGTTTTGTTTAGATAATTGGCAAATGAAGGACACCACCAGCTAACTACATACTTTTTCATCCCTTCCCTATTGGAAAAACGTATTTAAAAGGCTTCAGTTAGCAGGTGCTATACATAGATAAGGATCTCTGTACATTTCGTTATATTTGATCTACCCTTTTTACCGTTTATTGTCTTTATATGCGTTGTTTTCATCCTTTTTCTCTCGTATTATTCTAGATATTCGTGAAATAACTAATAGTTTAACTCAATTTTTGCCTAGACAAAGGATTGTATTTGTCTACATTACGTACGTAATCAAGAAAAAACTTCATCAGGTATGTTTATGATTTCTGATGCCATTTTACACTGGTTTTTAGTTTATGTTTTCCTTTTTAAAGTTAATTCATCAAATTTGAATCAAGAATTGACGGCTGAATTGAAAATTTTGGAAATTATTGATTATTATCGTCCTACGATAAAGGAAAAACAAACAAACAATCATCACAGAAAAATTTTTTTATATCCTTGGAAAAAAGATAAATTAATTCATTGTGCTTCAAATGCAATTAATACGAAAACAATGCCAAAAGATGATGATGGTCCTACTACTTTAATAAATCAATTAGAAACACACGCTTCGTCTTCCATTACAAAAAGTGAAGAAAACAAATATCCTAAGTATCGAAAACTAACTAATCGTCGAAAATTAGAACGTTTACCACAACATCAAATGAGCGACAATATAGTACCATCTCGAGCAATGAAAAATCAAACAAACAATAATTTTTTGAAATTTGCTCCATCAGACGAACAGTCATCTTCGTTTATTAATAATAATAATAGTGATATAAATAGTGTAAATAGTTTTACGACTACTAGCTTTAGTACTAATAGTTCTGGCAGCATTTCCGTGGATTCTGTTGTTAAAAATCCTCTAGAAAAATTTACTATGTCAACGTTTCGTATACCTAAAAAGCCAAGGTAGGTTGTGTTCAATCTCTTTTTTTTTTCAGCAATGTCAGATGATCGACAATGTTCTTTTGTTCGCTTTCGCTCGTTATTGTTTTTCGTTTTCTTAATGTTTACCTAATCAGATAGTTGTTTCTTACACATTTTGACATGATTATTATTAATTCGTTCGTTATCATCGACTATGGATGTTTATTTATTACCAGTGTGGAGAGGTATATAATATGAAAAAGTAATTGTCACATGAAATACAAGTATTTTTTGTACATTGAACTCGTTGAACGAACATTCATCTAGTTTTATAATCATAAACGGTAGGTGCAAATTAGTTTTCAAATTTTTTTTCAATTTTTTTTTGAATGGTTAAAAACCGTGCTTTATGTATGACGTAGAGATTTTATCAGAAATTAATATTTTGCAATATTTTTGTTTAGATATTTTTTGTTTTTCCAGATATTTTGCCGTTATATTTTTTATATTGTGTTTTTATACTATTTTTGTACGAGTTTATTTTCCTTTCTTGTTTGATACGGCCTGTCTCTTTCTCTTGGTGTGTGCATATTTGCACATGTGTGTATATATTTGAATGTTTCTGTTACGACCGTGTGTGGAACATCATTCAAACAAAAACATATTGGTTAATTACAAATTCAAACAGAACGGATTACTGTATGTATGGATCCATATTAATATAAAAGTAACAGCATACCATAATCTGCTGCGTTTGATTGGAAAACAAAAAAAAATAATAATAATAATATGTCTTGCAAAATCGTTTGAGTCGCGAGTTATAGATGATAGTGATCCAATAAGTTGATCGTGATCAAATACTAGTTCTCTGATTAACAAATTTTGCGTTTTTTTATCTTACTCTGTCGTATTTCATAATTTGCCTGATGAGATAAGCGTCAGATATAAAGAATGTCTTTTATTTTATCTGTATGCTGTACAATTTGCTTAATTTAACGCGAGAATTTGTCAATTTTATCTCTTTATGTATATGAACAGACAATTTACGTTATTTTTAAACAAAGGTTACATTATTCACTGTGAGAGATTAATGTTAGCAGTCAGTTATCGGTAAACAAATTCAGATTAATCTTTAAACTATAAATAAAAAGTTACTAGCAACTAACTCTTAGTTGATACGAGTACAGTTCTTCGAGATGACATTGTTTCAACTGTTATTTGTATGCGCTTCTTCATAATCAATAGCAAAACGTCTATAAAAGTGTTCCTAGCTGCAATCAAGGTGATAAAAACTAATTTGCAGTTAGGATCTACTATACTTCTTGCACTGGAATAGATTTTAGTATTAGGCTGCACTATTAATAAGATTATATAAATTAGCAAGCTAAGGAAAAGCATTATGAAAGTCGAAAAAGTTATAAATTATTAGGTATTCAGGAAAATTAAGAGATAAGTAGATAAAATGATGTAAAATAATTGCATCATTTTACCAAACGGAATATGGACGAATGAATGGATATTTGAAGACTAGATTCAAAATTATATTTTTAGAACTACTAGACTTTATATCTGGGATAAAAGTAGATAAATATACGACTGAACTGTATTTCAGACGATTTTTTTTCAAAGATGAGAGGACGAAATAGCTTAGTATATTGTATAACAATCAGATGAACTTCAGAAAGAGTTAGAGATAATGTATAATTTCCAATTAAAATCTATGCTTCTATTAAGAGAACAAAATTGTATGTATCCTAGAAATAGACAAGGTCATTTCATGCACACATTCACAATAATCAAATTGACGTATGGTAACAGAACCAAAATATATTGAAGATATATACAACAAACAAACAGTTCTATTACCAGTGTAATTGATACAAAATCAATCATACATATTCTATCTTAGATTATTATAATGTTGTGTTGGTATCGTCGAATCATTGACTTTTGTTTTATATTACAAATTTTAAGAAATAGCGTCCTTTACACTTATTGTTTTTTTGATTCTATAATGTTTATTTTTTTACGTGTATATTT